TCTCTCTCTCTCTCTCTCTCTCTCTCTCTCTCTCTCTCTCTCTCTCTCTCTCTCTCTCTGTGTGTGTATGTGTGTGTATGTGCGTCAGTGTGTATGTGGGTATTTTTACATGTATATGCATGTACAGAATTACAAATTACATTTTAATAAGTATATAACATTTAGACAAATATAAGGGTGTTTTTTGAGACAAGGTCTTAAGTCCTGGCACCCATTACGTAGACAATCAAGATTCCCTGCCTGTCTTCTCAGTTCTGGGATTAAAGGCAGGCATGTGCCCCCATGCCTGGAAAGATACAGTTTTGCATATCTGTAATATTCTGTCAGTAAGTAATCTCTTAAGTTTTTGATCATGTATTTATTTTGTTTATATGTGTGTAGGTTTGCACAAGCCATGGCGATTATGTGAAGAACAAAGGACAAGTTGTGGGACTTAGTTCTCCTGCCACTAAGTGGGATCCGGGAGTCGGAATCATGTCTTCAGGCTTGATGTCAAACACCTAGACATACTGAACCATCTTGCAGGTGATGCTTTGTTTTGACTGATCACTTGATTGTTAGAGGTTAGGGAAGCTCATCTCTGAGTGTGAGTGTGTGTGTGTGTGTGTGTTACCAGAGATTAGATCTGCTCTGATCCATGCTTTCACTCACTGAGAGACTGAAAATATGAACAGGCTGTTAGGAGGTGGTGGAATCATGGAAGGTGGGGATGGCCAGAGAAAGCTATGCTCCAGCCCCTTCCTGATGTCACTCTCTGCTTCCTGACCACCATAGGGTGGAAAACTCAACTCCACCACATGTTCTCGAGGCCATGATGGTCACCTTCAGCACAGCAAGAGACAATCCAACCAACAGGGACCAAATCCTCTACAAATATAATCTGAAATAAATCCTCTTTCAAACTGTTTCAGATATTTGTAACAGAGACAAAATACCTTGGCGGACATATACACACATGAAATTGTCCAACGACAAAAGACAAATGGTTCCATTGATTAAAAACAAGTCACAGACCAAGGCACAGGCAAGGAGAGTCTCTGAGCATCAGAGGGGCTGAGAGCTCATCCAGTAGGAGAAAGCTCATCCTCAATGTTTCAGGTCTGGCCTGGTGGACAAGAAGCCAACTTTATTTAGAGGGAACTTCCTGTTTGAGGAAGCAAAGATACAAGAGACTGGCTCAGTGGCACTTTTGTATTTCTCCAATGACAAGCAAAGGCAGGCATGGACGGTCAGTACAGAGCCATTCTGGCCTAGAAGCAAGGAGGAGGGATGTAGGAAAGGAGTGAGAACCAGCAAGAAGTACCTGTGGGATAATCAGTGGGTAAAGAGTCTACCGTGTAAGCTTGAAGAACTGAGTTCAATCTCCAGGACCCACATGAAAGCCAGCTGTGACAGTTTACACCTGTAACACTGGCACTGGAGAGGCAAACACGGGCAGGTCTCTGGAATTCTGTCAGCCAGCCTAGGTAAACCAGTGAGCTCCAAGTTCATAAAAAGGCAATTTCAAAGAATAAAGTGGAGAGTGACAGAAGACACCTGATGTCAAATTATGATTGACACAGTCCCATGCACACACAGGCATGTGTGCCCACACACCCATATACCACACATATACAAATAAATAAGTCAGATGAGCCGTAAGTCTAACTCCCAGATGTATCTGCTCCTGGTTAGGGAGCTCAGAGTCTTCGGGGCTCATGGTAAACATCTGAGCCATGTAGGTCCCACAATCCTCACTGTAAACACTAAGCTCTGTCACTATCCAGAAGGGTCACAGATGCCAGAGACAGGTATCAGTGCTTATTCAAAAAAGTATATGAAGACCTCAGACTTTTCTTTTGTTTTAGTTTTTGTTTTTCAAGGCAGAGTTTCTATGCAGAGCCCTAATTGTCCTGGAACTCACTCTGTAGAATATATTGTCTTGAACTCAGAGATCTCCTTCCTCTGCCTCTCACGTGCTGGGATTTTAAAGGTGTGCAACACAAATCTTGGGTTTAAAAAAGCAGAAGCCAAAGATCACAGGATAAAACAACCACCACCACCAAACCACACAGAATGGACTTGAACCTGTGTGAAGCTAGGCACCCGGTGCAGGCCAGTGTTCTCAGGTACTCTGGACTCTGGTAGTAACAGCTACAGGATCATGATGTTCCTAGTATTGTGACATGAAAACTATTTCCCCCATCTGTCACTTCATCACCTTCATCTTTGGCCTTCCTCTGTTTTACTTCCAAAATACTTACTCCTTCATTTCTTCTTTATGAAAACATGTACAGAGATTTATAATTCTTGTTACAGGGTCTATCTTCTGAAGATCTCCAACACCTTACCTTCATAATCATCAAACTTCATAGACTTTAAAAATATTGCTATTGTTTTATTCTTTTAAACGTTGGAAGGGACAAGTTCTACATTCTCAGTCAGAGCCATAGGATATTGTGTCTATGATACTAAACACATGTCTCCAAAACACTTTCGATTTTTGGAGGTCAACACCAGTCTCAGCAATGTAGCAAGACCTTGTCTCAAGTATAACATCCACCCTGTCTTAACTAGGATTTCTATTGCTGTGATAAAGCACCATGACCGAAAGCAACTTGGAGAGGAAAGGCCTTAACCTCTCTTCCATTTCCACATCACAACCTATCAGCAAAAGGAGACAGGGAAGGAGCCTGAGGTAGGAACCTGGAGTCAGGAACGGAAGCAGAAGCCATGGCAGAGAACTGCTCACGGGCTTTATTCTTCCTAATCTTTTTCTTATAGGATCACCAGCCCACAGTGAGCTGGGCACTAGTGCATCAATCATCAATCAAGAAAATCCACCTCAGGCTAGCCCTCGGGCCAGTCTGTTTGGGGGCATTGCTCAGCTGAGGTGCCCTCTTCCCAAGTGAGTGGGAAGCTCAGTGTTCAGGGTTAAAGTGTTCAGGTCATAACTGCGTACTCCCCAATCTTTCTTTCCTAGCTGCGAGGACGTCACTCTCCAAAGTCAGTTGACTTTCATTCAGTTACTGTGACAACTACAGTGACCAAAGGCAACTTAGGGGAGGAAAGGGTTTATTTCAGTTTTACAATCCGTTCTGGAGGGATGTCAGGGCAGGAACTTGAAGCAGAAACCATGGAAGAACATTGACTTCCAAAATACTTACTTGGCTCACTTGCAGATCCAGGCTTAGCTAGCCTTCTTATGTAACATAGGCACATCTGCCCAGGGAAAGGTGTTTCCCACAGTGGGCTAGGTCCTTCTATATCAATTATCAAATAATTTGCCATATACATGCCCACAGCCAATCTGTTCTGGAAACCCCTCCATTGAAATTCTCTTCTCTGGTGACTATAGGCCGTGTTATGCTGACACTTAAAGCTAAGGAGGTTAGTAGCCATCAGCTGTGAATTCAGCTTATGTTCAATGCATGTAACAGGCAGGATTGAAGACTAGTGACCTGCAACCCCTTCAGTAGGAAAGCCCCAGAAGAAAAAACACTCTGTGGGCCATCAGAGGCCTTACCTGACAGTTGGAAGTTTCTCCGATGCAGTCAGAAGCCAAGCTATCCCACAAGCCTTGTGGCTACTGCAATAGTCACCATGGCCAACTTGCTTTCAACAGACACTCCATCTGATGACTGGAGATAACTCCAGGACCTATTTTGCCGGGCCATGCTGCCACTGAAGTCATCTCTAGGTACCAGTGCATCAGTTCAGAAAACCAGCCTCTAGATCCACCCAGTTTGGTTGAGTGCAAAGCCTCAGTAAGCACAGCTGTCTCCGTAAATGTCTGTTTAGGAGCGCACTGTTAAATATGCTCAGTTGTAGCTGAAAACAAAGCTTATTGGGAAGGTGCATCAGCACAGGAATCTGCCTCTGGAGTAACCTGCCTTGCTTAGTCACTAATACACACACGGAGGGAGGAGATTTACAGCCAAACGCTTCAAGAGTGTGGACGAATAGGAGCAAGAGAGAGATACAGGGTACTACTCAGAAGCACGAGGGAAGACACCGCCTGGGGGTAAGGCAGCTGTTTTGCCCTTGGCCTGGAGCCAAGGTGCCAACTGCTCCCACTCCAAGTCTCTCCTTAGTTGCTATCCCTCACTGGACCCCTTGCAGTCACCACCCAACGCCAGCATCTTTTAACAAAGCAGGTTGCCACATTTCTTCCTCCCTTCTCACTGCAGCCTGTCACATATGCTGTTCTCAGTTGACATAAATTGGCTGTTAGAGGCTCCCAGGTGTAGCCAGTGCTCAGGTGAGTGATTTGGAGGGTCAGAAATTAATGGGCACACACTTCTCGGGAATTGAGAAGACTGAGCCCTCACAGGGCTCTTCACAATGTAGGGAGGTTGACCCTGTGATGGTTAAGACTGTCAACTTGACAGAACTATAACCACCTAGATGGTTCTATCCTAGTTACTTGTTTGTAGAGAGAATATCTTGTGTATTGTATGGATGTATCGCCTGTCAATTAAAAAGCCTATGGCCCATGGCTTAGGCAGGAAGTAGGGGTGGAACATCTGGTAAAGAGAAAGGATTCTGGGAGAGAGCCGGGTGGGAGACTCGCTGGAAGATGTGATGAGACGGACATATGGTACCTGAGCACAGGTAGCCAGCCACATGACAAAATGTGGGCTAGAATAAATGGGATATTTTAAGTTATATCTGGTCAGAGAGGAACCTAGCTACCTAGCTATATGGCCAAGGTATTTGTAAATATATTTTGAGTCTAAGTGTTATTTCTGGGAGCATGGAGCTAGGAGGAAGAACCGAGGCTTAACTTCTATATGTGTCTGTAACCTACTAGACTGGGTTAATCAGGTGAGAAGACCACACCCTAACCTGCCAGATTAAAGACAAAGCCAGCTGAGTGCCAGCACTTTTCCCTCTGTTTCCTGATTGCTGACATGTGACCAGCTACTTGAAGATCCTACTGTTGGGACATTTCTGTCATGACTATACCCTGGAACTGAGTCAAAACCAACCCTCCCTTCCCTAAGTTGGCCAGCTATTTTGTCATAGCAACATAAGCAATGGCTATAGTCTTCAGCACTCCTGCTGTTTTAGGCTGAATTCGCCTGAATTCTCTCTGAATTGGTGGGCATTTGCCCTTTCCAGCTGAATGTCTCCATTGCTCCTTTCCCTACTTCCCAAATGACTGTCACATCTACACACGGCTCAATTCCCTCATCTTTGCTATTTAGGAATTCTCATTTCTCTGAACTCTCTAGACATCTTCCTTATTCCATCTCCTCCCATCCCGTTCCAAACACACTCAAAACAAGCCATACAAAAACAATCAGTTAAAGAGACAAGCCAAAAAACCTCAAGGGCCAATCTGATAGCATTTCTTGAGTTTTCTGGCCATGTCCTAGTGCTTGCTGCTGAAGGTTCAGGTCTGGGCAGTTAGAGATTCTTGGCCTCTTAAAGTATTAAAAAGTACCAGGTGGTGATAGAGTCAGTGTCATAAGCCTTTTAATCCCAGCATTCAGGAGACAGAGGCAGGTGGATCTCTGCGTTCAATACCAGCCTGGTCTAGGGCTAGTTCCAGGACAGACAAGGCTATGTGAAGAAAACAAAAAATAAAACAAACAACAAAAAAAGAAAGAAGAAAGATTGCAAAATAGCAGGGAAACTTTATTCAAAGTCAAACAATACAGATTAGGAGTGTGTAGTCAAGAAAACAGTAGGTCACACACGTGAAAATACTCAGGGGCTTCAGGTTGTTATTGCCCTAGCTTCTGAGATCTGAAGGAAGGGGAGCTAGTTACTAATGGCTGTAGTTTGGGTGATTCACTAATTTGACAGATTATTACAGTCTCTTTTCTACTTTATATGCCCTCCAAAATGTTTGTATTTTTAACTGCATGCACACAAGTTGCAACTAGGCAATAAGATGGTAAAAGGGGTTTTGCTAAAAGTTCA